GTGAATGAGTGGGGGGAATGTGTCAAGACCGGTGGATCCCGAATAACATCCCGCCACCCGAGAACCTGTATATAGCCAAATTGTACACGACAGATAAATCTGGAGCAAGGGGAGAAGAGAGAGAGAAAATGCAAAGGACTTGGACGAGACCACGAGGAGGAGTGGCGCCCTGGGTTGAGTACGGCAGACGGAAAGAACTGACGACGGCAAGCAAGCAAGCGTCAGGACATGGGCGCATAGGAACATAGCGCGAGACTGGGAGGGCTATTGGAATTCGGCACGACTAAGGCCAAAGGACCATTAGCCTTGCAAATGCAGCTCGACAAGTGTGACGGACCCTTCRGAATGGCGGTCCGTCAGGATCAAGACGAAGGGATGAGGATGGGGGAGATGGAGATGGAGTTGGAAGGGGCAGCGCAGCTCCAACGCAGACTCAACACTCACGTACTCCAAACTGTGCAAATGAAGAATGACGAAAAACAGACAACAGTTGGGGTATACCCCCAGCGGACTAACTGGACTGGACTGGACTGGCCTGGTACCGACAATGGTACCGGGCAGGACGAGATTGGACTGAAACAGTGCACGGCCTGTGGGGTCAGGCCACGACCTGGTCCCACAGGCCGAACTGGCAAATAGCCAAATAGGCCCTAGCCGTAGTCCAGGGCAAATGAAGGCCCGCTGCACGATCCTCATACCTGTAATGGATCGCAAGAGCCATAAACATGCAATCCGCAAAAGCAGCGGAACTCTGCAATAAAGAAAGCTGAGAAGTCTAGGATGCGGAGCAAGCTTCATGTTGAGTCCATGCGATGCAGCCTAAGCTACATAATGTCAAAAGAAAAATAAATGTCTGGTATACGTGTCCTAGCTAACAACAAAAAATGAAATGTAGCAATATACAATCCTAAAGTCCTGGAAGCAATTGTCTCAGTACTGAGAGGAAAAAGAGCAATATGGCACAAGATAATGTCCTGTCGCTGAACCACTAAGAGTGGGATGGTCTCAGAGGGGTTGAATGTAGCCTAAGAATCGAAACTCCTAAGGGCAGTCACACATGAAGGTGGGATAGGTCATCAGGCTCAAGGTGGGAGAGTGGTAGCGAAACAAAACCAAGGACCCTAACAGATAGACCACCAGGGCGGGTAATGCTCGACAAAAGGATGACACCATGTAGGGTCGACCATGAAAAAGGGGGAGCCTGGAATAGGGTGGAGATATGCCTAATTGAAGGCATGCAAGGACCGACACTAGGGTGATGAGGGCAGTGGGTGAGGGAAACATGCACACAACTCACCGACTGGGGGAGGAGGGAGCTAAAACTGGGAGCAAGGAAGCCAAGATAACGCTACGGTCCCAATACCTATGCGATACCAAGGGAGAGCCCAACTCAAAGAGACCCAGCTAAGTGAGAACCATCATGCGACAAATGCAAGGGAACGTACAGGGTAGAGTGGTGGCGTGAAGTAGTCACGTCCAAAGTAGCAGAAGTTGATAAGATGGTTGAAGTCGTCGAGGTGGTCGATGACGTCTATGTAGTAGGAGTCGAGGTCGATGTCGAAGCAGAACCGCAAAACGCTGACATCCTGAAGAAGAGTTGATGATGGAGTATCTGATGGTGTGAGTCAGTGGGGAAAGATGAAGGATAAGAGTGTCAATCATCGTAACGTGAAAGGCGACGATGAGTGCGCTGTGGATGCTCGGAGGCGACCGTCTGTGGCTGAGGAACGGCCTCAAAGGGATTGGGCTCGTCCTCAGCAATCTCCTTAGCCGGAGGAGGAGGAAGAGGGTCAGTCAGCTGAGCAGGGGCAGAYATCTCAGCACGACGAGCACGATCATATGCACGCACCAACATCTTGGCATGCTCCAAGTGCTCGAGGGGCTCCCAAGTAGCCTCCTCATCAGGATAACCCTTCCAAAGCACAAGGTACTCGATGCATGAAGGGATATCGTCGGTCACTCGGCGAGATACGATGTTGGAAACGGCGAACTCCTCGTGACCGTCCACCATGATAGGTGGAGGGCGCTCATACGGGCGTCCGGTGAAGCGCTCGGACAGTCTGCGATAACGATGCAACAAGGAGACATGGTAAACATCGTGTATGCGAGCCTGTTGAAGGTAATCAGGTAGCTTCGGCTAGCGACAGTATCAGAACCGACGGCCTGAAGGATGCGGCATGGACCGAAGAAATAACGCCTGAACTTGCGAAGCGTATCCGCTTCGAGCTGTAAGTGGCGTGCGTCCACAAGCACATCGTCACCGACTTTGAATGGATRATTCATTCGTGATCGGTTCGCTCGTGCGGCCATGCGAGTCTGGGAGTCGGCTAGACTCTTTTGTGTACGCTTCATAATCGCCGCCATGTGGGCGATCCAGTCGTCAAGCGCAGGATAAAGGGTGCCTGGGCACAACCTCGATGGTCGTAGGAAGTCTGCAGGTACGCAAGGGTGGTAGTCGAGGTCGCAATAGAATGGCGACATCCGTATGGCTGGCGAAACAACGTGRTTGTACGCAATCTTCGCGTGGGCTAAGTGTAAGTCCCACTGTTGGTCATCCCTAACAAACTTTCGGAGGATATTACCGAGAGATTTATTGGTGACCTTAGTCTGACCATCTGTCTGAGGGTGATACGACAATGAGAAGCGGAGCTGGGATTCGTACACCTCGTGTAGGCGTCGCCAGAATGTGCTGGTAAAGCGCGGGTCACGGTCGGAGATGATGCTCTGAGGTAAGCTGTGATCTCTCACGACTCGGTCGAACACGATGTCGGCGACCTCACGAGCGCTAATGTGATAGCAGCATGAGACAAAACATGCACGCTTCGTGAAGCGATCGACGACGACCAAGATAGCATCATGACCGCGCTCAGTGGGTGGGCGGAGGGGACCAATGAAATCCATGAAGATGGACTGCCAACGACCCTCGGGTATGGGTAAGGGCTAAAGTAACCCATATGGGAGGTGGTTCACACTGTTCACCTCCTAACAGGTAGGACACTCTTGGATCTAGGTTTTGACTGAGTCCTTGGACTTCGGCCAGACGTATAGACGACAAACACGAACCAACGTCTTGTGGAAGCCCATATGACCGGCAACTGCCTGGTCATGGAACTCCGCTACAGCCTGAACGCGGAGCTTTCCAGTGGAGGGAATGCAGATGCGTGGTTCTAGCTAACCAGATCTTCCATGCCAGTACACGAGACCSTTCTCACCGAGGGAGTATGTGGGAACGGTCTTGCCACTCCACAGTGTCGCGTGGATGACGTGATAATCCGGGCAGTGACGGTACTGGGTGCGATATGTGTCGATCACCGACTGATCAACAGTGGTGACGGAGATGGCACCAAGATGGATGGGTTCCTGATTGTGGTCAGGACGGCAGGACAAGGCATCGGCGACGCGATTCGTTTCACCCTTGATGGGCTGAGTGGTGAAACAGAACTCGGATAAGTCACGCCACCAACGTGCCTGTCGAGGAGAGAGCTTGAGCTTCRTGAGGAAAGCCTGGACAACTGAGTTGTCCGTGAGCACTGTSAAGGGCGCCCCGTGCAGGTAATGACGCCAATGCCGAGTAGCATAAACTACTGCGAGAACCTCACGTTCATCAGCATTGTAGTTTATCTCGGCAGGCAGTAGCTGACGGGAGTAGAAGGCGATCGGGCAATCCCCAGCACGAGCCTCGACAGTCCCATCCTGCGCGATGGTCGGGGAGTAAGTAACGGGAGGACTGTCAGTGGGGGGAAGTGGTGGGAGGGTAGGCGTCAGTCGAGAAGCAGTGTCAGCAGGAAGGGGGGAAAGAAGGAACATGAGGATAAGATGAATCTGGAGGAGAGGGAAACACCTGAGACAGGACTGCTCCTACTGCAAAATCTGACGCATCGATGGTGACGATAAAGGGACGATCAAAATCGGGGAGGCGAAGAACCGGCGCACAAGTCACCGCCTTCCTGAGGGCGCGAAAGACGTCCTCGCACAGGGGTGTCCAAAACCACGGCGGGTTCTTCCGGAGGAGGGKGGAGGKAAGGACGTAGGAATACCTAGCGTATCCCTGGATAAAATTACTATAGTAGCTGGTGAGGCCTAAGAAACTGTGAAGCAGCTTGACAGAGGTGGGGACGAGCCACTCTGCAATAGCAGTGATCTTCGCGTCATCCATGTGGAGACCCYAGTCAGACACATGGTGTCCTAGGAAGTTCACTTTGYGCTGGGCAAAGCGGCACTTACTGAGCTTGGCATAGAAGCCATGCTTGCGTAAGAGCTGTAGGACATCGCGGAGGTGTCTGATATGGTCTTCTAAGGTACGATTGTAGACCAAGATGTCGTCTAGGTATACAAGAACGTATTCTTCGAGGATGTCCCTAAACATGTCGTTCATCGCCGTCTGGAAGGTGGCAGGTGCATTGGTGAGGCAGAATGGCATCACTGTGAACTCATAGTGGCCGAAGCGTGACCGGAAGGCGGTCTTCGRCTGATCCTCTGCGGCAACGCGAATCTGGTGGTAACCGCTACGAAGATCGATTTTCGTGAAGAAGCGGTTGTCTGCCAGACTGTCAAACGACTCATCCGCGTGGGGCATGGGATAGCTGTTCTTAACCGTGTAACAGTTAAGACCGCGGTAGTCAATGCAGAGGCGGAAAGTTCCGTCCGATTTGCGAGCAAAGAGGTCAGGTGCACCCCAAAGGGAGTTACTGGGTTTAATGAAACCCAGTTGAAGGAGCTCCTCAAGTTGACGCTTGAGTTTCGTCGCCTCTGGAATCGAAAGTCGGTATGCTGCCTGATGGTGAACACGATAGTCAGGCATGAGTTGGATAGAATGTTCAACACCGTGCATAGGGGGAATCCCCCTGTATGAGAAATACGGGGGAAAGACGTCGCGGTACTCTCGAATCAGGTCGCGAACGACCGACTCTAAATATGTCGTGAACCGTATGAGTTCCTCAGCGTCTGCGTCGGCACGAGACGTATGTGTGGACTTGACAGTCGACGATGCAGGGGCCTGGGACGTGGAGGGGGTATCCGCAGGCTGACTGGTGGACTTAGAGATGGGAGCCGCAAAGATTAAGGAAGGGTCAGGGGGATAGGGCTCCAGAGAGATGAGCTTAACCTCAGGACAGAGTGAATCATAGCGAAGAAGATCCATGACGTTCACTGAGTAGAATATGACGTCCTCCTGTCATATGAAGTGAGCAAACTGACGAGGGGAAGCGAAGGCGATGTTGGGGTGGGACCCTGAGGGACGAGGGTCCTGGGGAGGTAGGTCGGGAGGGGTGTCGCCCGTGGTTCCGATGAAGAGGACACGATGGGTTTGACCACACTTCGTTTTGAGAACGCGTGCCTCAGTCGCCCATTCGGCCTTTGTGCCACGGAACCAGTGAGACCAAGGAGTGCCAAGGATAAAGTCGTACCCAGTCTCCAACACGTCGAAGTATGCGAAGGAATGGTAGAGCCGAGGCGCCTGGGTACTATCCAATGGCTGGAGGGTGAGGGAGGCGTGGAGGTCGGGGACCGTCTGATCGAAGAAGCGTTGCGTCTTGTTATCTCTGAGGGTAACGGAGATAGGAGAGTGAGACTCGGAGGTAGCTAGGCGAGCTTCCTCAACCACGCGAGGGTGAACGAAGTCTCCCTGCGAGTCGGAGTCCCATAAAGCGCGATACACCCTCATAAATGTCCCTAGGCGAATAGGGATGATGGGGAGGGTGCGATCAGGGTCAGAGAGCAGAGCGAGAAGACGACGCAGAACGTTTATGTGTCTTGTGAATCGCTCCTGGCGAGCCTGAAGGATGCTCAAATCCAGGAGAGATGACACAACGTCATCGTGAGTCGCCAGTTGGGCACTACAACGAGGTGTGCGAATGGCACGACGCGTCGGAAGTCTGGGGGGCAAAGGACTAGATGTGACGGTCGGTTGTGGGGCAGACGGTACCTCGACAGATGGTGGGTCAGAGGGAACTGCGTCTGTCGTGTCCTGAGGATCCTCTGGTGGGGTAGCCAAAGGGGCAAACCACGACTCGGTGGTCGGGAAGCCGGCTACTTGCGAGGCCTCATCGATACATTGCAYCGTGACTAGCTAGGTGGGGCTGGCCGGGTGGGGCCAGGGGGGGACTGAGATCGGCGCTGACGAGAAATGTCAGCGTAGTGYCRATCGAGGGCGGACTGCTATGGACACCGTGAGGAGGTGTGTCCATCCAGGTGGCAACGAAGGCAGCCGCGACGGGCCTCGAGGGCGGTACACTCCTCGAGGAGTGACAAAACCCTGCGGGAGGTCTATCTGAGGAACCGTGGGTGTGCGGGCGCCAGCCTCTGCAACACGACTTTGCGCACGACTCATGGCAGACATGGCCATCTGCAGGCGCTCGGCCACTGGGAAAGTGTCCTCATCCAAGTGGTACTTGATGACGTCCCGAAGCTCGATGTCCTCGGGGGCGTCCCCAATGGTAGGGTCGAGCTCGGCTGAGGCGTCCTCTCCATACTCGAGAGAACTGTAGTGCCGAGAGAATGCCGCTCCAAGTCGAGCTGAGTGACGAAAACGACCAGCAAACGAGGAGCGGCCTCTGGTGGTACCGCGAGACTGGGAGGTGGCGGCTGGCCGCGAAGAGGATGGGGCGACGGAGAAGCGACTGCACATCCTTTGGTACTGACGCGCAGCCTCATATGCCAGCTCCGGGAAGAGAATGATCGCCTCCATAGCTCTAAGCAATAGTCAGTCGGCAGGCTTACGAGGAACTGGTCGGTGAGTGTGACATCCGGTAGGAACATCTCGTCACAGACAAGGCGAGCGTCCTGAAACACCCGGATGTGACGCTCCAGGTCGGCCGGTACAGAGGACCCGGACCATCGGGTCAGGATGACGCGGTCAAAGGCGTCGGTGGCGTCATGACGAGCGTCGAAGCGGTCCTTAAGGAAGGCCGCAAAGTCGGCCAGAGTGGGGACCTCACCCACGCGGAGGCGCTGGGTATAATGATCCTCCCACGCTTGGGAAGGGCTACCTCGCAATTTGGTTGCGAGCACATCGCACCACAACTCCTGACGGGTGGTCGTCATAGAGAGTGTGTGCGTTGCTATCTGCAACCAGCAAGAGACACGGGATGTGCCATCATATTCGGGAATGTCTGTGGTGCTCACATGAGGATGTCCACTTTGCTGATGGCGGGGTGAGAGAGATCGAGGCGAGTGCATTGTGGCGGTGTAAGTCGGGGCTGATGCAGAGGCAGAGGTGGGGCAAGGCTGTGGGTCGTGGCCGCTGGCGGATGGTCTAGCAGACGAGGAGGCAACGGCCGTGGGCAGCTGTCCCGGAATAGCCAGGTAGGAGGGAAGAGGCTGGAGGAGCAGGTCGATGGAAACGAGCCTGCATCATTAGGACCGAAGGGGTGGTAGAGGAAGAAGGGTGGGCAGCCTGTGACGGGTGAGGCTGTCTCAGAGCGAGGATCTCCGCCTGAGCATACGCAATGGTGGCCTGTAAAGTGGCCACTCGCTGGGTGCACGGGGTCGGAGGTGGAGGAGGCGGAGCGGGTCTCCCAGTGGGAGGAGGAATCCCAGCCGGGGCGGTACCCTGCTGTGGGGGTAGGGGGACGAAGGCAGGAAGAAGAGCGCGGAGCCGTATTGCCGCGACTGGTGCGGAAAGCTCGGAAGCAACACCGGGGTGGGTCGATGAAACTGCGGGGCCAGATGGTGGTATGTGGACCGCAGCACCTGCGGCAGCAATAGAGACGGTAGGGGCGGCCGGGGCTGGGAGAACTGCCGCAACAGACGGGGTGGTCTGAGCGGCAACAACACTCACCACTGCTGAGGGGGAGTGCTGGGCCTGGCCCGCAGAGGAGGGGGAACCACGATGTCTCCGTCTCTGGAGTCGTGGGGAGCCGGACTCGGAGCGGGTAGAATACACATTTCGTTAAAAATGAATCTTTTGATTGTTCACTTTTTGTAACAAAGTCGGAATTCATGTTGGAGCGACATAAATAAGAATAAATCGAAACAATCATTGGTAAGTGTTGCTAAGTGGG